GGAAGACCCCAGATGCCCTCTTGTCCCACCACCCTACTCTCCAACCACCCACCTCGCCCCAGCCCACAGTCAGCTAGGCAATGCTTTAAATGTAATGAGCTGGGGCATGTGATGGCCAACTGCCCCAAGAGCACCAAACTCAGGCTATTGCTAGATTTTAAAAGAGCAACTACAAGGATTAAGCACCAAGAATAGCTTTCTTGAGGTCCATCTTAAAAGTTACAAGCAAAACAAAAGCACCAGGGGTTAGCACAAAGAAGTCCACAAGCCATAAAGAAATAAAGAGAGAAACCTAATCACATCTTCCTAGACATTTCCTGATCTACTTACATATCTGGTGTTTTAAATGAGTAGTTCCTAGGTATGATACTGATAATTTTTTCATACCTGGCCAAAGCTTCTCACAGCATAGCTCTGCCCTGTCCGCCTCTTCACTGGAAAACAACAAACAACAGACAAAGGGGAGTCTTTGTTTCAGTTTTTAAAAGTTCTAGCCTTCCCATTGGCTCTTTTGGCCAGGTGCCCACTCACTTCCTTTTACCTGTGCATAGTAGTGAGACTTTTTAACCCTTTACAGGTAGAGCCATTAGAGAACTGCTACTAAGAGGGATTTTATAGTTACTGGCTGGGTGTCCATAAAAGGGAGCTACCCCCCTCTTTATTTATCATAACAGGTATCTTCTTCAATGTGTGCCAATCAGTGCCTACATGAGTTTGCATCCTGTGTGTGTGTGTGTGTGTGTGAGAGAGAGAGAAAACAGCATGTCCCCCTCCCGGTGGGAGAAGTGAAAGCAGCGCAGACCCCAGAACTGCTCCTGCCCTGTTGGCTCTGGCTGCCTTGGGCTGGCAGCCCCAGCCTCTTGCTGTAAATGGCTGCCCTGCGTGTGGGGACGGGAACAGGGACAGGAAGCCCAGATGTGCCTATCTTTTAAGATGCAATATAGGCACAGTACAGTATTTGTTTTTCCCCCCCGTCTCTGCTGCTGCCTGATTGGCTACTTCTGGTTTCACATGGTGTCCGGTTGACCGGTCAATCTGTAACTCTGGCGTTCATATCTTTGAGGGTCTACTGTACTTTGTACCTCAGAGAAATGTGGTTTATGGAAGAGCATGGTTTCCCCAGAGAATTCAAGAATGAGGGGAAAATGCTGAATGTTAACACTTGAGTGTTAAGGCATTATCATAAAACCTCTGAGGCAATCAGAGAGAACTCCCTGGCTAAGAGGGACAGATTCCAGTCTACATGCACAAGGTGTGGAAAGTCATATCCCAGGAGATGATGCATGTCCAGCATTTAGGCGGCGACGCCTCTGGATGACGCTGCTTGTCAGCGGCGACGCCTATTGACGTTGCCGCTTCTCAGCGGCATTTTGGCAGATGCTCGTCTGCCGGCCATGGTCTGCGGTGGCTCATCGTCTGGCACCTGCCAGACGAAAAAGTTTGGGGACCACTGACATAGAACCTGTCTAGAGAATATTCATGGCAAGATTATTGATTTTGAAATTGACTCAGCAGCTGATATAACAGTCATATCAGAAGGGGCTTACAGTCACCTTCAACCCCTCCCAGAGCTGAAGTCACCTGACACAGCTCTAACTAGCCCTGGAGGTATTCTGAACTGCATGAGACAGTTCACCACAAACACTAAAGCTATGCATTGAGTGCATGTGATCAAAGATCAACAACTTTCTCAGCTGCAGCATGGCAGCCAGGATTGCCTAGTGAGAAGGGTGGAAGAACTCAACAGAGGATTTGATGATATTGGACTCTTGAAAGGAGATACAATACAAATCAACTTGAGACATTGCTCGAACCATACAGTGTACAAACACCTTTATCAGAGAGACCTTAGAAGAGACTAGCTGCGGATCTGTGCAGAGTCAGAGGACATCATTACCTGGTCATTGTGGATTATTTTTCCAAGTGCTGTATATCAAATAACATACTTGAAAGATGTAACTTGCTGCAGTGTTATCGAGAAACTGAAGTGCACTTTTGCTCACTTCCATTTTCCAGAAGTACTAGTGATGGACAACTGACCACAATTCACTGCAGCAGGATTTGTCATTCCAAACGGGAATGGAGGGGCTGAGAGAGCTGTACAGACTGCCAAAAAAATCCTACAGTAGGAAGATCCAGTCCTTCCTCTTCTGCGTTACAGATAAACACCAATAGGGGCTACTAGATATAGTCCAGCACTACTGCAGATGCAGAACACAAAGAAGAAGACTCAGATTCCAAACCAACCAGAGACCCTCATTGCAACTAATGGACAGCCAGATAACCAAGTTGTTATGCATTTGGGTCATGTAATTAGAAATCCAGTATGATTCGGAGACACTTAACAGACTTTTATACGTATTGAACTTCAAAGACTGTGTGATATATTGTAAATACTAGGAATGTAGAACTTTAAAGGGGGAGATATAATGGAATATTAAACTGTATACTCTTTAGCCACTAGGTGGCACTGTGTGTAAAATGCCTTATTTGAACTAACCGCAGTCATACCTGGCAGATCATTAGAGTCTTACAATGAACATATCTGGTGTGTGTAAGCAAGCTCCATGACCAGTCCATATCTGGTACAGAGGAACACGACATTAGGGTGACCAGATGTCCCGATTTTATAGGGACAGTCCCGATTTTTGGGTCTTTTTCTTATATAGGCTCCTATTACCTCTCACCCCCGTCCCGATTTTTCACACTTGCTGTCTGGTGACCCTACACCACAGGGACAGATTGGGCAAGGAGACTGGGATGGGGGAGACTGGGATTGACTGGAAATGGGAGTTAGGGAGGGAAACAGGAAGGAGGGACTGAGATCAAATGAGGAGCCAGGGAGACTAGGAATGCCTGGGCAAGTAGACTGAGGCTGAGAACCTCTTGGGCAGGGAGAGGAAGGAAAGAAGGCAGAACTGATGAGGAGCTGTGGTGTGGAGGGGGTGAGAATTGGGACTGACTGGGCAAAAACTGGTAAAAGGAACTGGGGTGAGGGTGAGGGACACTGAGATAGGACGAGGAACTCAGGGAGGGAGACTGGGGGCCAGTAGGAATGGGAAATGGAGGCCAGGGAGTGGGGCATGGAGAGACATTAACTGAGGAGCTGGGATGGGGGGAAATTGGGACTTGGCTGGGCAAGGAGACGGGGTCAAGAACCTGGGGGCGAAGGGGGAAATGGCTGGGCGAGGCACTGGGAGTGGGAGATGAGAGAGAGAAGGATGGAGAGCCTGGAGGGGTGAGAGTAGGACTTGCAGGGCAAGAAGAATGGGATTGGCATGAAGAGCCAGGTGGGAGGAAGAGACAAGACTGGGAGAGGGACAGGTTGGAGGGGATGGGGAAGTAGGGGCAAACTTGGGGAGAATAGAAGGCTCTGTGTCCAGAACCTGGAATGGGACCCAGGTTTCCTGAGTTTCACCATTCACCTGCTATCAGCACATATCTCTGAGACTCACTGGCAAAATGAGCCATCCTACTCCAGAGCAGAAGTTCCCAAACTGTGGGGCGTGCCCCCTGGGGACGTGGAGGAACGTCCAGGGAGGTGCAGCAGGACCTGAGCCAGCCCCCATGGATTGGGGGTGGGGGAGAGAGCCCCTCCCTGCCCCTAGCTCTGCTCTGGTCCTGCCCCAACTGCGTCCCCTGCCCCTGTCCCTGTCCCCAGCCTTGGCACGACTCCGCTCCCGTCCCCAGCCCCTGGCCATGGCCCCCCTCCTGGCCCCAGACCCAACCCCAGCTGTGGCCCAGCCTTTGCCCCTTTGCCCCGTCCGTGCCCCCCACCCCCGTCCATGCCCCCCACCCCCGGAGTCTCAGCTCCACTCCTGGCTCCAGGGCAGCGGGGGGTTGCGGACAGGGGTAGGTGAAGTTTGGGGGATGACAACCCACTACTGCTATAATTTACTCTGTTAACTTAAGTGTTAACTTAAGTTAACTTAAGTGGGAGAGGTCTGTAGGAGGTATTTAAAGGCTAATGACTCTTGTGGATGTCAACGTAATGCCATGTGATGACATTTTCTGGGGGGTTTTTATTGCCTTTTTAAAAAACCTAAGAAGTTTCTCTCACGCACACAAATCTCAGTTTGCCCTCCTTATGCATATGCATTCTGATGTGATGTATAATTACATGATGACATGTTATTTTTTCCACAGGACTCCTGGTCTCATTTAGTGCACAGGATAGACCTGCTCTGAGGATGAATCAGGGTTGTTTAGTGAAGGTTGCTGTTGTCTCTAATACCTCTGCCTCATATATTCTAGATTCTAGAAGTTCACATTCGAGGCAGTGAAGGACCTCATCGAGCTGTCGGCGCCAAATCCCCTCCCATGCAGGGAGAAGCCTCTGGCATCGCCCATGCGTGTGCCATCTAGAGGGAAACCAGCAATGGTGCGCCACTCGAGGTCAACAACCCAGAGCTGCTCATGGCACCATTCCTCTTCGATCTCGGCGCAACGCACCCATGCATAGGGTGACCAGACAGCAAATGTGAAAAATTGGGACAGGGGGTGGGGGGTAATAGGAGCCTATATAAGAAAAAGACCCAAAAATCAGGACTGTCCCTATAAAATCGGGACATCTGGTCACCCTACCCATGCACCTGCGACCCAATGCGAGGTTACAGCACCAGAGGTGGATGAACCCGCAGCACCCTCGTCGGCATCTAGACACAGTTCCACGATGCCGTCAGTCACCCAGCACTGGAGTGCAGTGCCAGCCACCTCCCCGGCACCATGTGAGAGGCACTGGTTCTGGTCCCGAGACTCCCAGTACGGTTCGTGGCACCGGTCCCTGACCTGCACCTCGTGGCATCCTATGGTCGCTCAAGGATTGGCACCAGCTTGGTCCTCTCCATCGGTATCCTCTGGCTCTGAGGCCAATTCCGGTTGCTCCGGCTACAGCAGGCACCGGACCGTGGCCAGCACGCGATGCCACTCCAGGTCGCCATATAGGCACGCCTCAATGGCGAGAGAGGCCATGCTCTCTAGATCGCCCTCGGATCCCTGAGAGCAGCCGACAGCAGCAGGCCCAATGCCTCTGGCGTTACCAAGTCAGACAACGCCTCAGGAGGTAGCAGCCTCGTCGGGCCTTGACGTGGCCCAGGCCTATGGGAACTTACAGGAGGGTCAGGACAAGGGCAACCAAAAGTAGCTCACATCTTCCTCTTCCCCAGATGAAGTGATGATGGGTACATCAGTCTCAGGACCACCACCGATCGACCATAGGGCCCCCCAAGAGCTTCTCCGCAGGATTGCCCTCAACATGGGCCTCCAGGTGGAGGAAACTGTCGAACAGGAGGATTCATGGTGGACATCCTGGCTCCTGAAGATCCCTCCAGAGTCGCGCTCCCTCTGATAAAGACCGCACAAAGCAATTATAATACTATATGGCAAACCTTGGCCTCCATCACGCCAACGGCCAGGGGGATGGAAAGAAAATACTTCACCCCATCCAAGGGCTACGAATTCCTGTTCTGCCACCCAACTCCCTGCTCCCTGGTCATTTCAGCAGTTAATGAGAAGGAACGCCAGGGTCAGCAAGCCTTGGCTCCAAAGGCCAAGGAGGCCAAGCACCTAGACCTCTTCGGTCGAAAGGTCTATTCATCAGGGGGCCTACAACTACGCATAGCCAACCAGCAGGCGATCCTTAACAGGCATAACTTCAACTCTTGGACCGCTATGTCCAAGTTTAAGGATCGCCTGCCGTAAGACTCGCACTCAGAGTTTGTCACGTTTGCAAGCCTCCCTCGATTCAGCCAACTCTGTGGCCAGAACCATAGCCTCAGGAGTGGTCATGTGGCACTCAGTGTGGCTACAGGCATCGGGTCTCCCTCCCAAGGTCCAAAACACCTTCCAAGACCTCCCTTTCGAGGGTTTGGGTCATTTTTCTGAGCAAACAGACTCCAGGCTACATGGCCTTAAGGACTCTAGGGCCACGCTGAAATCGCTAGGGATGCATACACCAGCAACCCAGAGGAAGCCTTTCAGGCCCCAGCCTCCGCAGCAGAGGCAGTATCAACCTCGCCCTAGGCACGACCCGTATCGCAGGCGGGGCAGAAACAATAGGCGTAGGCCACAAAATAACACGCCTAACCAAGGTCAGAATAAACCCCAGCCAGGAAACAAGCAAGGGTTTTGAAGGCACGCTCGAAGACAGCCTACCAACCCAGTTCCCGGATCTATCCAACCCGGATTTTAAACCAGTTATCCCACTTCTACCATGCATGGTCCCGTATAACATCGGACCGCTGGGTCCTACGCACTGTACAAGTGAGATACTCCCTCCAGTTCTCCTCCTTCCCTCCCTCCGACCCACCTTCCCTGTCCCTCTTCAGGGACCCGTCTCACAAGCAACTCCTTATGCAAGAGGTCCGTTCAGTCCTCGAGATAGGGGCGATGGAGGAGGTTCCACAGGAGCTAAGGGGAAAGGGGTTTTACTCCCGTTACTTCCTAATCCCCAAGGCAAAGGGGGGTCTTTGACCCATTTTAGACCTTCGTGGACTCAACAAATTTATAGTCAAACTCCAGTTCCGCGTGGTCTCCCTAAGCACTATCATCCCATCGCTGGATCCGGGAGATTGGTACGCTGCCCTCGACATGAAGGATGCCTATTTCCACATTGCCATCCATCCGGCACACCGACGCTTCCTCCAGTTTGTAATAAACCAAGAACATTACCAGTTCACGGTACTCCTGTTCAGCCTGTCCACAGCCTCCCGCGTGTTCATGAAGTGCATGGCGGTGGTGGCGGCCTTCCTGTGAAAAAGGCAAATTTGAGTGTACCTCTACTGACAGGTCGATCCAAGGACGAGGTCAGGGACACCTTTCACAGGCTGGGGCTCCTCCTCAATATACCGAAGTCGTCACTCATACGTACCCAAAGGATAGAGTTCATAGAGGCCGTCCTGGACTCGGCAAAAGCGAGCCTTCCAGAGCCCAGATTTCAAGCCATAGATCAGATTGTCAGAACAGTGCTTCAGTACCCCACCATGACAGTCAGGTGTTGCCTACAGCTAATAGGATAGATGGCAGCCTGCAAGTATGTGGTCAAGCATGCCAGACTGAGACTCAGGCCTATACAAGCGTGGCTCGCACTATGTTACCGCCCGTCCCGAGACTCCCTGGACCTTGTAGCAACGATACCAGGACAGGTCCAAGAATCCCTGCGTGGGTGGCTGGACCGACCAATAGTCTGTGCAGGGATCCCCTTCGCCAAGCCCCAACCTTCTCCGACGCTAGTAACAGACGCGTCAGATCTGGGTTGGGGCGCACACTTAGGGGATCTGAGGACACAAGGTCTGTGGTCGCGGGACAAGATACCTCTCCATATCAACCTGAAGGAGCTCAGAGTGGTTCGTCTGGCCTGCCAAACCTTTCACGCCACTTTGCAAGGTCACAATATGACAGTCCTGGCAGACCACACGACCACCATGTTCTACATAAACAAACAGGGCGGAGCCTGCGCCTCATGCCTCTGCCGTGAGGCTCTTCTCCTCTGGGACTTCTGTATAGCCCGGTCCATTCAGCTGGAAGCATTCTACTTCCCAGGGGGACAGAACGAACTGGCGGATCACCTCAGCAGGTCCTACCACATTCTCGAGTGGTCGATCAGATCGGACATCATACAGTCAGTTTTCCAAAGGTGGGGTTATCCCCAAGTAGACCTCTTCACCACTAAGAGCAACACACAGTGCCCTCAATTCTGCTCATTTCAAAACCACAGCCCGGGTTCACTTTCCGACGCGTTTCTAATACCGTGGGGGTAAGGGGCTGAAATATGCCTTCCCTCCAATCCCGCTGGTCCACCGGGTCCTACTCAGAATTCACAGGGACAGGGCGACGGTAATCATGATTGCCCCAACCTGGCTGCGGCAGCATTGGTACACAACCCTCCTGGAGCTGTCCGTAGATGTCCCAATAGCCCTGCACCTCTACCCGGATCTGATCACACAGGACCACGGGCGCCTTCTCCACCTGAACCTGCAGTCTCCGAACCTCATGGCTTGGAAACTCCATGGCTAAATCGTATGGAGAGCCAGTGCTCTCAGCCAGTGAGACAGATTCTCCTCGGTAGTAGGAAACCTTCCACCAGGGCAACTTACCTGGCAAAGGGGAAAAAGTTCTTCTGCTGGTGTGAACCCAAATATCTGCAACCGCTCTAGTTTTCTGTCCAGATTATTTTGGACTACCTCCTACATCTCAAGCAACAAGGCCTGTCTCTTTCGTCCATCAGAGTACACCTGGTGGCTATCTCAGCTTTCCATCCAGGGGAATATGGGTGCTCGGTGTTCTCAAATCCCATGGTGGGGCGCTTCCTTAAAGGACTGGAGAGGGTGTTCCCATATTCTCATCCACCAGTCCCAACCTGGAACCTGAACCTGGTCCTCTCCAAACTCGTGAGCCCATCATTTGAGCCCCTAGCCACTTGTTCCCTCCTCTTCTTTTTATGGAAGGTAGCGTTCCTGGTGGTCATTACATCGGCAAGGAGGGTGTCTGAGCTGAGAGCTCTCACCTCTGAACCCCCTTACATGGTGTTTCATAAGGACAAGGTACAGCTTAGACCGCACCCTAAATTCCTCCCCAAGGTGGTCTCCCAATTCCACATGGGCCAGGACATTTGCCTGCCGGTGTTCTTTCGAAAGCCCCACACGAGCCCGCAACACCGCAGCTTACACACGCTGGATGTTCGAAGAGCCTTAGCGTCCTACATAGAGTGCACAAGGCCTTTCCGCCAATCAACCCAGTTGTTTGTGGCCATAGCCGATAGAATGAAGGGCCTTCCAGTTTCTGCGCAACGCATATCGTCCTGGATCACAGACTGCATTCGCACGTGCTATGAGCTGGCCGAGGTCCCAGCCCTAGCAATCACAGCCCATTCGAACAGAGCGCAAGTGTCTTCGACTGCCTTCCTGGCACAGGTCCCCATCCAGGAGATCTGCAAGGCAGCTACCTGGTCTTCAGTGCACACGTTTACAGCCCACTATGCCGTCAACCAACAGTCCAGAGATGATGCGGCGGTTGGCAGAGCTGTCCTTCAATCAGTCGCTCCTACCCACCTCCGATGGTAAGCTTGGAAGTCACCTAATTGGAATGGACGTGAACAATCACTCGAAGAAGAAAAGATGGTTATTTACCTCTTGTAACTGTTGTTCTTCGAGATGTGGTGTTCACGTCCATTACAATACCCAGGGCCGGCTCCAGGCACCAGCTTACCAAGAAGGTGCTTGGGGCGGCCACTTCGGAGAGGGGCGGCACGTCCAGCTGTTCGGCGGCAATTCGGCGGACGGTCCCTCACTCCTGCTCGGAGCAAAGGACCTCCTGCCAAATTGCCGCCGCAGATCGTGATCGTGGCTTTGTTTTTTTTGTTTGGCTGCTTGGGGCGGCCAAAACCCTGGAGCCGGCCCTGACAATACCCACCCCCCTTCCCCTCTGCCGGAGTCAACGGCAAGAAGAAACTGAAGGGGGGTCGGGCCGGCAGGGTACTATATACCCTGCCATAAGGGCGCCACTCTAGGGGGCTCCCCTGCCGTCCTGACGGGAGCTGCTAAGAGAGAAAGTTTCCAACGTCCGTGCACGTGATGTGCGCACATCTACTTGTAACGGACATGAACAAAACATCTTGAAGAACAACAGTTACAAGAGGTAAGTAACCGTCTTGTCTCATGGTTAAGATAGCTGAATTCTGTCAGAGTTCATATGGTAAAGACATTTGAACCAGACTTTTCACAGTTCACACTAATTATGTGTTTGTTTTGTGGGTGCTTGAATTGAGACTGTTTGGTCTGATTTGCATAAGAGCTGAGCACTCACAGCTGTAATAGAAGTCAATAGGAACTGTGTTTGAACAAATAAAGTGCTGTATAATGCTATGTACTCTGAAAAAATCAGGTCCTGGTTGTCTGAAATTGGGCACCCAAAATTAGTGGATATGTTTACCCTAATCTTTGAGTCTGTTCCCCATCTGTAAAATTGGGATATATCCATTCATCTTACAGGAGTTTTGTGAAAATTTGTTTGTGAAGCACTGTGTTATAATAATGAACACCATAGA